TGATATACAATGCGACAAGAATCATTTTAGCTTATATAGAACCTTTATCATGTTTTCAAAATTTCTAATGAATAAATAATTTAAGGTAATACAGTACCAGGAAATTGCTGAAATGATGAAGGTATCGATAGTGTAACTCTTATAATAGTCGTTCATCCGTAGAATTGATACAATACCTTGACTATTTCGAGATAAAAGTATCCTTACAACATTAGTGAAACTAATTATGACAATGAGAAAAAACTATTACCTCCGGAAATGATTCAGTGTTTCTGACTAAAACAAAATGTGATCGACATTATATGTAAAGATCCATACTAATACTTTTTTTTTGTTTTAGATACAGGAAAGAGATCAACGCTAGAGATGGAGTGAATTTAAGTTTTCTTATGCGTAGGACAACCCATTAATTATCCAAAATAGTTTCTCTTTATCTGAATTCAAGCATGATTGTTTTAGGCAATTGTGGCATTCAGACATAGAAAAAATATTGTACTCAAGATTTATATAGTTATATCAATTGCAAAGGTATACGTATGAATATTTATAAACTTAGAATACCTTCCTTATACTTAAGAATAGAAACCGGAAGATACGAACGTGATAGAATACAAAGTAATGAAAGATTATGTCAATTATGTAACTTACCAGAAATTGAAGATGTTTAACTTAATTTATTGCAAAATAAATGTTTTTATGGTCAATTACAAGTTTGATGGTGGGTTTCATTAGGTCTTTAGTCATAGGTCGAAATATATTGGGTTCGAAAAAGCCGTACTAGTAAGGACACTAAGTTTATCGTTATGAGTAAATACAATGTGATAATTTATGCTGTTTAAGTCCGCCATTTTAGAAGAAGAAATAATTCATAACAATTTTCAATAAATTGCTTTAATGCACGGTAATTATACTTTATTTGATCGCTCATTAGTCCAGGAAGGTTACAACTGATCCGGCAATAGCTGACACTGTAGGAATGTTTACCACAGTTTGGTATTTTGACCGTCTTTGTTTTCACGTTTTGTAAACAAAGGAATTTGTGTATTGGACTATGCTTTGCGATTGGATTACTGCATAATGTGTATAAAGACAAAGATGGTTGATTAAATCATCAATTCTATGGTGAAAAATGTGTATACTAATATTAGGAACATCTCACATACACTGGTTGGAACGATTTCTTCGACAAAAGGGCAACAATAACAATGTTTTTAACGTTGGTGGCGATGCTAGCCCAGAAGTACATTTCCGAAGTATAAGTGGAGGAAAAATTTGTAATAAACACCACGTTAACTGTTGGGAACTGAGTATATCAGAACTGCGTCCAAAATATTTAATAATTCAATTAGGTGGAAACGATATTGATTCGTCTAAAATGGACAGTGCATCATTAGAACTTCTGGTTTTGCGAATAGTGAACATTTTCGCAACATTTCAAGTTCGATACAACATTGCGGAGGTTGTAGTGTTGCAGTTCATTCCAAGACCTAGGCCACGTTATATATCGGGAGATACCTATGGTGAATTGGTGCACAAAGCCAATATCATGCTCAAAGGGGAGCTATCAAAATTTCCTCGAATACTTTATTGGAAGATCAAGGGAATAAAAAATCCAACAACAAACATCTTTAGAGACGGTGTTCATTTGAATTTTGCTGGCATTATAAGATATTACAAAAACATTCGTGGAGCTGTTTTGAAGCTATTAAAATCATAATTTCCTGATCAAGTACGTGATAAGTACATACCAACAAGTGAAATGTGGAAAACTGTGGATCTCAAGTGAAGACGACAAATATATACTTTACATCTTAGTCCCAAAGTGAACTTAAGACGTATACTAATTTTGGTTGAATGTGATAGTTATAGTATCAAATTATTTGAAGGACTATGTTTGCACATTTACTTGACAATTTCTAGCGAAATGTTTGTTTTTTATTACACACATAATGTTTGTGCATATAATGCTTTTATTGATGGCTTTGATGTAGTTAGTTTTTAATGATGCCTTAATTTTAAGGTGGTTTATTCGACTTTAGTGGTAAAGTTCGTAAGATTTAACAGTTTGTTAAAGTCCTTAATTGTAAGGATATTTTAGTTTAAACACGCCTTAATTTTAAGGTAGTTGTTTAATGCTAAATAGTTTTTAGTTACATACACCTTAATTGTAAGGTGACAATTTTCAAAAGAGTTGAAAATATTTTCTAAGTTAATGTTCCTTAATTTTAAGGAATATGAGCTATAGCTTTACACCTTAATTGTAAGGTGACACCTTAATTGTAAGGTGACAATTTTCAAAGGAGTTGAAATCATTTTCTAAGTTAATGTTCCTTAATTTTAAGGAATATAAGCTATAGCTTTACACCTTAATTGTAAGGTGACACCTTAATTGTAAGGTGACAATTTTCAAAAGAGTTGAAATTATTTTCTAAGTTAATGTTCCTTAATTTTAAGGAATATGAGCTATAGCTTTACACCTTAATTGTAAGGTGACACCTTAATTGTAAGGTGACAATTTTCAAAGGAGTTGAAATCATTTTCTAAGTTAATGTTCCTTAATTTTAAGGAATATAAGCTATAGCTTTACACCTTAATTGTAAGGTGACACCTTAATTGTAAGGTGACAATTTTCAAAAGAGTTGAAATTATTTTCTAAGTTAATGTTCCTTAATTTTAAGGAATATGAGCTATAGCTTTACACCTTAATTGTAAGGTGACACCTTAATTGTAAGGTGACAATTTTCAAAAGAGTTGAAATTATTTTCTAAGTTAATGTTCCTTAATTTTAAGGAATATGAGCTATAGCTTTACACCTTAATTGTAAGGTGACACCTTAATTGTAAGGTGACAATTTTCAAAAGAGTTGAAATTGTTTTCTAAGTTAATGTTCCTTAATTTTAAGGAATATGAGCTATAGCTTTACACCTTAATTGTAAGGTTGTCAGAATAATCACAGTTTTACTGTACATAGTTTTTTTTTTTTTTTGTTTTTTTTTTTTTTACAACGAGTCAGCGATATACTGAAGTGTATCATATTTCAATGTACAGTTTCATTTATAAACCTGTTGCTGGGAGTGTAAAATTTATCTACATGTTTAAATGTCAGATCGTTTATGCTAGCAAATATGCGCGTTTAGAGAGAGATTTTACATCTGTTAGGATAGACACGCTGTATGTATAGCGGGTTATTATTTTTTTTTTATTGAGAAGATAATTTTTGTTGTTTAGCTACAGCTTTAATTTTAAAGCTGCTTACCATATAGACTGTTCTATAATTTTGTGATGTGAAAAGTATGATTTTTGATTTGTTTTTTGTTGGCACCTTTCTATGCTTGAACATTTAGTATTATATTTGATTAGATTGTAAATTCCTTTGCAGCATTGTTTCAATTTTTTGCATGTAACTTTACTGCATAGATTGTAATATTGTAATGTTCAATCACAGTCATGTATTATTATTTTGCCGGTTAACACAACCGTTAATTTCATTTTCAAAGTATGCTTAATGTGTAACCAACATATGTTATAATCACATTAATATTTCTTTTATATTGATTTCAAGTGTTTTACGCACTGAATGCTGTTGTTTTTCAGATAATTATCATGCCTTTAAAACGAAAGCGAACTCCATCTGCCAAAGCTGCGGCCTTGTCGAAGAAATCTAAAACGTCAGAAACATCTTCCAGTACGGAGCAACCTGAAGCATCAAAAACATCGTCCAGTTCTGCATCTTCTATGTCTCAAACAACAAAACAGCAACTAATTGACGAATTAGTGCCCGCTGTCACCAAGGGTGTGGTTGAATCCCTGGTTGCCATGAAAGTTCTGCCAGGCACATCAACCACTGAAGAACAAACATCAACACAAGATGAACATACCACATCAGATGTACAGACACAAGGTAATATTTCAACTGTATCAACATTTCCACAGGAGTTACTCACAATCAGTATGCACGTGGAACAGAAGACAAGAAGCAAAATATGGGCTGATGAATACATTGATTTAGGTTTACTACTCCCAGCCTCAGCTATGGACAGTGCAGACGACAGTTGTCAATTGAGAATGGTGGAGTCAACATCTGGTTTAATGTTAATCCGGAAGCCCCAACAGAAAACCATTTTGTCATTACCAAGATGGTTTTCTGCTTTTCATTGTTTTGTTTCCATTTACACTGAAAAATTCCCTCATGCAGCCCCGGCCCTGATGCAGTATACCGAAACGATCAGGAAATTAGGTCAGCGAGCAGGAGATGAGGCGGCCTTGTTCTACGATAAAACATTTCGTCAGTTACGACAGACCGATCCCACCCTAGTGTTCAGTAGCCTGCATACAGACACCTACACTGAAGCCTTAGCTATGGGTTTAACCCAGCAGAAGAAATCCTTCAATCTAAAGCCATTTCAGGCCTTTCGGTCCCAAGGGTCACCACAAGCCGGTATGCCATGCTACAGTTTTAACAACAACAATGGGAAGTGTACTAGACCCCGATGCCCCTTTAAGCATGTATGTCAACGTTGCTATGGACCACACAGCAAAAAATCATGTGGTATCAGACCAGCAGTGCAACCAAGCACATTCGTCAATAAGAAACCCGCCAACCAATTATCCAATTTTAAACGCTAGTGCTGATTCATCTGTTATAGGTTATAGTCGGTCTGTTTGTACACCTGTCAAGATTGAAAAACTTAGTTTTTGGTTAAAAGGTTATGATGAATCAGAAAAACAATTTCTTGAAACCGGTTTCACTAATGGTTTCAGGATCCCTTACACAGGAAAGAGGCAGTTTCGGACCTCGGCTAATTTAAAATCAGCACAGATTAATCCTGGTGTGTTGATTTCAAAAATTGCATGTGAAGTTGCAGCAGGTCGTGTAGCTGGTCCTTTTACTGACCCCCCATTTCTTAACTTACAAGTTTCTCCTTTAGGATTGGTTCCTAAAAAGGAAGAAGGTCAATACCGGGTTATTCATCATTTGTCCTTCCCTGAAAAGTCTTCTGTCAATGATGGTATCCCAGATAATTACTGTACGGTTTCATATCAAAACATTGATACAGCTGTTTCATTAGTAAAAGCCTGTGGTCAGTATTCATACATGATGAAAGTGGACATCAAAAATGCTTATCGTATTGTTCCAATACACCCAGATGATTATGAACTTCTTGGTTTCCAAATAAATGATAGATATTATTTTGATAAAACTTTACCGATGGGTCTGAGCTATTCTTGCGCCCTTTTTGAAAGGATCAGTTCTGCTATCCAGTGGATTGCTGAAAATAAACTTGGTTTACATAATTGTGCCCACATTCTAGATGATTTCTTTTTTGTTGGGGACAATTTAGACCTGTGTGAAAAAGGTTTACAAATTTTCATTGACTGGTGTGCTTCAGTCGGTTTACCAATTAATCATGCTAAAACTTGTCGGCCATGCAGAATCATGTCTTTTGTTGGAATTGAATTGGATTCTGTACTAATGGAGAAACGATTGCCCCAAGAAAAACTTAATAAGATTCGCCTAGCTCTAGACAAATTCAAGCATCGAAAAAAAGCAACTCTCCTTGAACTACAGTCTGTTATTGGTTTGCTTAATTTTGCTTGTGCTGTTATTGTTCCAGGCAGGGCATTTTTACGTCGTATCATTGATCTAACTATTGGTTTGAATAAACCTCACCATCATAAACGGTTAACAAAAGATGCTAGAGCAGATTTTCTGGCATGGTCATCGTTCATGTTTCAATTTAATGGCAAGTCGATGTTTCTACCAGACCGTTGGGTCACTTCTGTGTCATTGGATCTTTTCACAGATTCTAGTAATGTCGGATTTGGTGGGTACCTGTCAAACAAATGGTTTTCAGCCAGTTGGCCTCATGAATGGTTGAAATATCACATAACTGTGAAAGAACTATTTCCTATTGTTTTAGCTCTAGAGTTGTTTGGTAGTAATCTCACCAATCAATGCATAGTATTACACACAGACAATGAGGCGGTCGTGCATATTATAAACAAGCAATCTTCCAGGGATAAACATATAATGGTTCTAATACGTCGCTTGGTTATGCAAACATTAAAGAACAATATATTATTTAAAGCGGTCCATATACCAGGAATTCAGAACTCTTTGGCTGATTACCTTTCTCGTTTGCAGGTAGACAAGTTTCTCAAAGACAACACATGCACAGATCTAATGGAAATCAAAGTCCCTCAACAGCTGATAACTCTTTGACAACAATAAGTGCTTTTCTACTGGATAAGGCTCTGTCACCAACAAGTCATACTACATATAATAGAGCGTATAAATTGTATGAGCAATTTTCAAAAGAACATTTTAAACAGAGTGCTGTTTTCCCAGTTCCAGTTTCACATTTACTGCTGTTTATAGCACATTGCTACAAACGGGGACTTGCACCAGCAACTGTATGTACATATATTTCAGCCATTGGTTATAAACATAAAATACTTCAAATGCCTGACCCAACTGCGCCAGTAAGGAGAAAGAATCACCAACGAACAATTTAACTTTATTACAGAGCAAATGGCAAAACTAACACAAAGGGAAGTAACTCATGTAACACGCGGTATTCTTATACCAAATCACAATACAACTATTGGCGCTACCTCTTTTCTTTTGAAATGAAAACATTTTGTTTGACGAGGTATATTCAAACAGTATCAGATCAGTAAAGATATATATAAAGATATATAATTACACACACATGACTTCTATAGTACTTGCTTAAGTAGTGAACAACTAAAACGTGTGGTTACTTATAACACTAGATTGAAAGAAGAAATAAAGCTTTTGTAAAAACTCAACAATATTGAAACATGTGTGGGATTAACTTGAACATGCATAATGTCGACAGAAAGTTAAAATACACTTTCAAGATTGTTATAACAATAACATTATTTCAATATAAACAACATTTGGTATTAAACTAAGATCTAGCGTTGAACAAAACTTTAAATTCGTGTGGAATGGTGAGTTAATGTTGTCACATATTGCAAAGTAATTAACACACATAATCATTTAAGTACTTAGGGGGTTTCCGAGAACGCGCTGTGGTCTACTAGTATGTGATACACTATCGTCTACCGCGACGTCGTGATCATCTGCGTGAACTTGCTCCATAACGATCAAAGGGGAACAACTCTCATCGTCAGAATCGAACGGATTTGTAAGAGTTACAGGTGCATTGTCGTCCTGAACAGTTAATCCTTCACATATCTCCGAATCACTATCACAATCAGATTCTGTCAGATTTGGGATGTTATGAGATATATCACATATATCAGAAGGCACACGAAAACATTCCGATCTTTTCACTTTGTATGAGGTGGAGCGTAATTGGTTACCAGTGAATTTCTTTATGAAACACCAATCACCATCAACGGAAACTACAATGTATCGCTGTCGAGAAGCATGTTTAGTTTTGTCGGAGTATAAGTACACTATATCACCTATTTCTATGGTTTCACAATTTCGATATGACGAACACTTCGACTTTTCACTATACGAGTGGTTTTTGTTTCTAGTAGAATTTTGAGAAAGAATAACATCTCTATCACTTATAGGGATTTGGTTGTGCGTAAACTGATCACGTTGTGTCCACAGTTCACGGGAAGAGATTCCCTTTCGTCTCAAACGGCAGTTCAGGTGGTTCACGGCGGTGGCCAGTTGAACTTCAGAAATAGACTCGCCACCGGGCTGGACGCGAACTATCTCGTCCTCTAATTCAGCTATGGCTTTTTCAGTAACAGGGTTTTTTGTTGGCGTTTTTAAACACGACCTATGTCTAATACTATATTAGCCTGTTTTAACTGCTCATCATCGCGAAGCGCAACAAAGGCGGGTGCGGGATCAACTCTAATCACAGCAGGTGGACCATGAATTGGATGCATATCCATCATTAAACACACTAAAGCATTACGTAAAGTGACTTTTTGTTCATTGTCAACCATGACAGCTTTTGTGTATGATGTTACGGCTTCTCGTACAACAAGAATGCATTGTTTACTTCGCTTCATGACATCAGCTGCGAATGCTAATCCGACGGATTCTGGGGGATCCTCGCTTGACTGCTGTACTAATGATTTGGGGAATTTCTTAAGGGAAGCACACGTGTGACACGAGCTAGTTGCACGCTCGATAGCCTTGTTTATATCTAAAGCAAAGAAGTATCTTCGCACAACTAAGTCTAACTGATGCTTTGTAGGGTGGTCAAGCTTGACGTGCATGGCGGTAAGAAGTCCATCAAGAACGGAACGTGGTACAACTATTTGTTCTTTCTCGGAAGAGAATGGTTCAGAAACGCTTCACAACTAAAACACCATCTTTTTGAAATAGTAACCACCTGCAAGTACCGTTTAACATCTTTTATGTTCGTTAATTTTTTGGACGGTCTAGTCCCTTGCTTTAAGTGAGAGTGCACGCGACGCAAGTCTGGACATTCACCCTGGATATCACGCCAAGCCGATCTTGTAGTGAAAGGTAAGCGGGCAGTGCGTTGACAATATCGTCAACATTGACGGAACGCACAACTGAATCTTCCATAGCGCGTATGAAGGAACAAATCTGGCATCGTACTTCCGTACAATCTGGCGCATTTCTACTGGCGAAAATCACTTGGTACGTTAGCAGAGCCTGCTAAATGTTGTACGACCACCTGATATCTACTCACGTTAGACAGAAATGACGTCACCCTTGGACTGGCAGAAAATTCACCCCTATAGAGCTTTTGAACTGACTGAACACAGGGCTGACTGTCTGTAAGAACGCATGCTGCTTTTGATGATTGCACAATATACGGACTGAAGTGTTTAATGGCTGCTCCGATACTTAAAGCCTCAATTTCACATGGTAGCCAGGTAACTTGGTGTCTGCGCAACTTCGCACTAAAAAAATCCTGAAATCGTAGCTTGTTGTTTCGCATAACATACAACGTAGCACCAATACCACGCCTGGTTACCGATCCGTCAGTTACAATCCACAATTTTGTCATTTGGTTGGGGGATGACGATTGACTTATGGTCGTTTAATGCACGTTTAGCCCTTTCGAAATGCTCGAGACTTTGATCATCCATCGTATTTTGTCTTGCGATTGATGACCGGCTGTCAAATCGTCTAGTGGGGCAAGATAGATAGAACATTCAGGGACAACTTTGCTTAAGACTTTGTATGCTCCGATGAACGACCTTAAACCGCGGACATTTTCCGGAGGCTGACATGAAGCAAGTGTAGCTACACGGTGTGGGCTAGCAGACAAATTCCCTTCTGACCAAATCCAGCCTAGCACATTGGTTGATTTAGGGCAGATAACTGTTTTTGATGGGGCTAGTTTGATGTTACTATTATCGAGTGCAGCGAGTACACGACGCCAATTGTGAAGTAGCTGTTCAGGTGTGTCACCGCCACAGTAGAGATCATCTGCAAGCTTGCAAATAATACCCTCCTGGAGTAGATCTCCCAGAAATTCGGCACATGAGCTCCTCGAGGGGCCGTCTCTGAGCCAGGCATTCCCATTGCACATCTGGTGTTTCCCGGGTTACCTTTTAAAATGGTGTAGGAAAACCTTTTCCCCAGTTTTAAAAACGCTCCGGGGAAGGGGAAATCTGATAGAATGAACCTTTTTTTTAAAATCTGGGAAAAATCAAAATACCCCGCATTTGGCCCATTGATCCCTTTGAAAGACCCCCAACGTCAAAAGGGATTAACGGGAAAGGGTGTGGGGGTTGCTTAAAAAAAGACCGCCCCTTAACATTTAGCAAAGCCCGGTTTAAACCAAACTAATTCCGGGGCCCTTGGGGGTTTTTTAAAAAAAAAAACCCCGGAATGGGGTGGGTTTAAAAAATACTCGACGGGGAAAAATTAGTATTTTTCAGGTTTGAGCAAAAAACGTTTTTGGGCCCTTGTTCTTTTTCGGGCCCGTTCATCAAAATTTTTTTTGAAAAACTCAAAAAAGCCTTGTCTTTTTTGGGGTAATTTAGGTTTTTATGTCCTTTCCTCTGAGGGGGGAAAAGGGAAACCCCGGCCATGTTCCCCCCGTTGCCCTCAAAGGGGGGCCCAAATGGGCCCCTTGTATCCAGTTAGGTGTGGGCTTTTAAACCAAATTTTTCAAAATTAAAAGGAGAGTAAATAAAAGGGGAAAATTTGTTTGGGCTCATTGGTTAGAAATGTTTATTCCCCGGGGCAAAGGCCCCCAAAAGGTTTTTGAAATAGTTTGCCCCCAAAAGGGTTTTTAAAAAATTTTTTTTTAATTTTTTTTTTTTGTTTCTAAATGGTTTTGGGATTGGGGGGTTTTAATTTTCCCTAGTTTTTTTAAGGGGAAAGTCTTTCATTACAAAAAAAAACAAAAGGGCCCTGGGGGCTTTTTTTTTGGTTTTGGGGGAAAAGGGGGGGTCACCAAATGGTAAATTAAACCAAGGGTAGCGAATCTTACCACCAACGGCATCAACAATTTGGGGGTGACAACCAAGAGTTGTGTTCACATTTCGGCTCAACAGCAAATGATCCCTCGGGATCGACATCACCGGGGGTGTCCAATTCTACAAATGACCGCCAGGCCATGTAACCTGTGAAGACCCCGGAGCACGGATCACGAAGGAAACTTGGGCTCTGCGCACTCTGTGTTTAGAATCGACATGAGAGGTTGTGCCGTAATGGACAATTTCACGATCATGCAAGACTATCTGCTGTTTTGCTGGGGCGTGTTGAAATATCATTAGCGGCCATAAAGGTCACACCGCCAAGAATGTCTACATCTAAGTCAGCAACAACAAGGGCATCCAACTGAAATTCAAAGGCGCCCCGTGACAAAGTAATGTGTGTTTCGCCGATAATGTCTAATGGGGTTACACCATCAGCTTGGGTAGCATGTTGATTACTCTTCATGATGGGTGCGTCAATGTACTTTGCAAAAGAATGCTTGATCATAACTGGATTCAGCACCGGTATCAAGCGTTATGGTAACAGGAAAGTGCCGATGAAACATCTTTATAGCTGGAGACTGCTTTGTGCCGACTCTACGTGTTACCGATGTGACTGTTTCTTGAGCACTTGGGATGCTTTTCAGAGTCGGTTTCCGACTCACTGTCAGAGTCGATGACTGCCATTTGTCGCACCTTCGTCATGTACTGTTTGTCCTCTTCAGGTAGGTATTTGCAGGCACTTAAGAAATGATTGAACTTCTGACGTCCGGCTTGCTTGCACAAAGGGCATTCTTTTTGCTTTTGTTTTTGTTTTGTATAACAGGTTTATGGAATGTGGAACGAAGTACTTTTTGCCTCATTTGAAACTTGAATTTTCGTCCAATAAGCTGTCAAGTGCTTGAGAAATTTCTGGTTTTAATGAAGACAGCGTTTTTGACCGAAGCTCAGTGCCGTACCGCTGTTTTACCAGGATTGGTAAATTTCTTATCAAACAAGCCTGAGCCATGTCAACACAATCATATTTTCAAGCGTTGGAGTCATTTCCTCG